ATCTTGAGCAGGGGTGTCCTGTGCTCAAGGCAGGGGGGTTGGGACAGCGCCTGTCCCCTATGGCCCGCGCGACACCCGGCATCCCTCAGTCCACGGGCACACTGCTCTCACTCGCCCACACCCTTGCACTTGGGCAGGCTCCGCGCCTCCCGATGGCTCACAGAAATGTGAAGATCTCAGACCCGGGTGGAATTATTTCTACCGGGTGGGTCCGGCTCGGAGTCAGAGCCGGATAGAAACGAAATAGTGTGAGGAAGCCTCGTCTGCTTTCACGTTGGAATTTTTCTTCACAAGCATCACTTTCCTTTTATAATAACATTTTAAACAGTAGGCACCTCTCAGGCATTCGACAGTTCTAGGTAGATGCGTGAGGACTGAGTGCTAATTTGCATAAGCACGGAGCCAGATTTTATTTACCCGGCGGCCAAGCAGATGAAAACTTAATTAGCATGCCTGTCTAAAACCCAGGCACACATAAATCTCGCCCAGGCCCTTTGGATAAGGCCGCATCTTTGCTTATGAAAAATGGGATGCGAGCAACTCGCTGCACATTTCTCTGATTCTCCAGGTCTTGGGCTGCTGACACGCATTCGATCAAGTTTAAAGGAATGTACATAAATCAGCAATCCCCTAGCGTCTCTTCAGTCGAGGTTCACAAGCCCAGAAGGGCGCCTCTGAACCCCCATCAGGGGATTAGTAGTCCTGGGATACCTTCCTCCCAGCTCCTAACCCGGGGAATTCAGAGAGAAAGCTAGACGCTGCATCTTCCCGCACTCAAACACAGCACTGAACAACCTGTACTTATCTACTGTCTGGCTATTGCTCGCACACAGATACACCATCCTCGGTTGAATTTCGCTGCCTTCGGGCGGGCGAATCTCTAACAAAACACTTAAATTAGGTTGAATATTTTAAAATGAATATTTCCCCCTTTGTCTTTAAGTTCGTTTGTTTTTTAAATCTTACTTTAATTTTTAAAAAATGGCTTCTGCTCGGCATTAGGCATAAATACTTAGTGAAATGCACAGTGACGTTTTACAATCATCCACTTAAAGTTACTTAATAAATCTGACAGTATTAGGAGCAGATGGAAAAGGTCGTTTTTTTCAAGTCTCATATTTATAATTTTTTTATTCAGGAAGTTTCCTTTTTAGAAAAAAAATACTTGAATGAGATTTTCAACATCATTATACACGGATCACTGTCTGCCATTATTATTACTTTTTTTTTTTCCAGAAGGAGGGCCAATGTTCTCCCAATTGTCTCTGTTCTAAGGGTTTTAGGTTGGTTGCTATTTAAAAACTAAGAAGTCTATGGCAGGCATGGGAGCAGTGCTCCTTTAATCCCAGCATTCCAAAACAGACACAGGTGAATTTCTGAGTTCGAGGCCAGCCTGGTCTACAGAGCAAGTGAGTTCCAGGACAGAAAAACCATGTCTCAAACAACAAGAAAACAAAACAAAACAACCCCCCAATCCAATAATAATATAATTTTTTTTAAAGCTTGAGAAGTCATTCTAATCCACAACCACCCCAACTAATCTGCTAAATCCATGGCTATTTTAAATAACAGGGGTATTAGGTGAGATTGACACTGTCAACAACCATTTTAGAACTAAAGGGAGGGGCACCCTGATATCTTCTAGGAGAGAGAGAGAGAGAGAGAGAGAGAGAGAGAGAGAGAGAGAGAGAGATTACCTAGGACTCCTGCAGTAGTGGTGGCTTTCAAAGGGGGCAGTATTCCATTTGTAGAGCTGCTGTTGACCTCTTTTCTAGGCCGTAGGCTCAGAATATTTCTTACATCTAATGAAAAATATCTCCCTTCAGCAGAAGAATCCCCTTTGGAGCAGTCCATAAACAGTGTTTGATCCAACTCAGAGGGGAATTTCCAACACTGTAAACATTTTGGAGAAGTCATTAACTTTGCTTGATAGTCGTTCATTTGGAAACAGGGCTGTGACTCAAGGTGCAGGGCAGTGGGTCTGAAAGCTGTATTTTCATTTGGTTCCACAAATGGTTGACAATCCTCAGGGCAGCAAAATATGATTGCACTTTACAAGACCATCTGAGGTGTGTGCTTCAGGACCATCCTTTGTTGAAATTGCTTTATATTCTTTCCACAATTCCTCGTCTATAAAGATGAGGAAAAAGCTCTCAGTCTTCGGGCGAGGCTGGAGATGTTTCCATCATCTGGGATTGCAACTGGCCAATATTATTTTCCACCAAATGATGAATCCAGTTCTCCCATGCACTTTTATTTTCATCTAGCATAAAGCTAGATTAACTTGCACCTGAAAATCCAAATCCTAAAGCTACTGGTTCCATCAACATTTTAATACGCGTGTGCACAGAATGGACTTCAAACACACACACACACAGAGTGTGTATATTAAATACATAAATATACATATGTATCATTTATGACTCTGAACACACTTCTTGTTTTGTTAGTGGTCAATAAACAGTAGCTATAACACTGATTGTTAATATAGTGTTGATGGTGGTTGTTAATATTAAGTATATTTATTTCTCCCACAAATCAAATGGCAGATTTGCAAGCATCAATATAAGATTGCACACCACCCTGAAGCAACACTTAGCGGACCAGGATAATTTTCCTTGTGCATCCATATTCTGACCATTTTATAGATGAAATATTTCAGTTTTGCTACTGACTTCTCAAAGAGGTGAATTTCTTTGAATTTCTGAAATGTAACTCTAGAACGCTAGAGTTAGGAAAGTATGTGAACTTTTTATTTGCCGTAAAGATTCCTAGATAGTTCTAATTAAGGTCACAGACCACCTTGGAGATCGAGGGCCAGGAAAGAATGGTCATTTAAGAACACCTCTCGGACTGTAACAAACATGGACAGCTTAAAAACAGATCTGCAGAAATCTGATGCAAAGCAAGCTGCCGTGAGGATGAAATAAAGTTGGCCATCAAAGAAAAGAAGCAAACTTCACCACATAAAGGGCATTTTGTACCTCAACTCTAGAATTCACTTTAAATTACAGTGTCTTCTGTCATTAGCAATTATTACTATATCTGTACAAATGCTACAATTATATATACACAGGCACACAAACACTGATATTTAAATGTATACAAGTATAAACATATATTATATATTCACATATATACAAGCACATGTATAATTTACATATAGTCAAATCTCCTTTTAGAGGAAAAAAAAAAATAGGAGTACCAAATCTCTACAAGAAGTCAAGGACTTAAGAGAGCCTGGTTCCCTTGAAACAGAATTACAAGGAGGCTTGTCAACACTAGGTGGCGCCCTTGATCTACTGATCAGGCTGAGGCCAATTCATGAGCTGTCAAAAGTCAAGGTCACAAATTGTCTTTTTTCCCCCGTCAAGGTCAAGGTTTAAGGCCTTTCCTACTCCTGGCATTTCAGCAAATACCCAAACTTGTCCTTTCAGTCACAAGCAGACCCAAGAACAGATTTTAAACTATGGCAGTCTAGGCATTGCCGATATTCAACAATTGGTTTTCATTTTCCACAGGGAGCCTGAGAACTTAAACTGTATCTCTCTCCTCCTTTCCTTTCTCTCCTTTAAAGAATACCTGACACTTGCATCTCCCTGGAGCCTTTTCAGTTTTAGGATTTTAGTTATAGTTATATGAGATTTTTCCCTTCTCATAAAAAATTTAGGAAAAAAAAGCTGAATAATAATAGGAAAGAATGGTCCTTGGCTTGTATAAGACAAACCTGCTCATTTTCTTTTTGTACAGTGCAAGTTCAGGATAAAAAAGTAACTCGAGTGTTTCCTTCAGATTTTAATGGCAGTGATTATTTTATTAACAGAATTAATATCACTATCTACAGATCTAATTTTTCATTTTTAGTAGAAGTATTTAAAAAGCAGGTGCACAAATACATTTTCACAGTGTGCTGAATGTCTTTATTTACAAGATAGCATTTATAGTGAATATGAACAAAACGAATGTGTGAATTGAAATTACGGCTTGATTAAAAATGTGCTGTGAAGATGAATCCCTAAACTTTCTAATGCGGTCTCATAACACAATAAACAAGGAAAAATACTAATCCTTTAGTAGATTAAAATATAGAATGTAGACATCTAAGTATTTTGGGAAAACAGGTCTCCATTTTGAACTTTCATTTTTAAAAGTTCAAAAAGGAAAATGATGTCTCTAGCCAAATGTTTAACAAGTATTGAAAAATGCCAATTTAAATGAGGTTTTTAAAGAGTATATTTCAGGAGAAATCCATATTAGGGTGGAACCTTCCGGGAGATGGGGCAGAAAGCAAAGCTTTCAGATAGATCATCTGGTGAGTTTTAATCACTTTAAAAATGACAACAGATCCTATGGAAAAATCTCTGACAGTGGGTTAGTCCAAATGCCACCAACATGCTTGTTGTAAGTAATTGTTTGAGAGGTGTTTCTAGAAGTTCCTTACCCACTTAAGGTTCCCTTCCAACCTCAAGGGTTTAGTTGGCCGTATTTACTGCCAAGACAATTGACCCTTGGGTGATCCTTCTCTCCTCTCTCCCTTCTTAGCAAAAGTTCATGCTCAAAATGGCAGTGCCTTTCCCTCTAAGCCTATACATGAAACATTATTTTCAGAAGGAACGATGGTAGGAATTTCAGGAAGGTTTACCTGAGCAGGCACTTCACATGCAAAGGGCAGGGTGCTGGCGAAGGACGTGCTGAAACAGCCTTTTGTTTCTGTAACCAGTTTTCAGATTGTTACCACCTAACACAGTACCCTAAAATATAATGGCCACGTAAATACTTACAAGATTTGAGTAAATTCGTAATTTATCGGGAATTGTATGTTTTAGGGACTGAGGAGTGGACTCTAGAGGGGTTGTCTGGAGAACTGACAGTCTACCTTTTCTCAAGGTTTTGGTTTTGTTCTTTAAACTGTACGTTCCATTGAAGAGAAAGAGATTCCCCTTAGGAGTGTCTCTCTTCCCATTTCTTCTGCTATTATAAAGCATTACTGTTATCTGGGCAAAGAAGGGAGTCCTTAGGTGTTTCTTCAAGCTGCCCTTTGCTCCACCTTTTAATCCATTAACTAGTGGTCTTCAGCTTATTGATGACTTTTTTCTCTTTGACCCTCCTGTTCTGGAACCAGATTGTGACCTGCCTCTCAGAGAGGTTCGTTGTGGCTGATATCCTCCTCCGTTTGTCCTTGGTAATGAATTTGTTCGTAGCGTATTCCCGTTCGAGTTCTTTCAACTGTACCTTAGTGTAAGGCACCCGCTTCTTCCTCCCTCTCCTGTAGGAGCTGGCATCTGAGGGATGGGAGACGACGTCTGTAAGATAAGGGAGAAGGCAAGTTACACCGGGAGCCCACCAGAACGAGGACACAGGCGACAACTCAGTCTGAGGTCCCCTGGCCCTACTTGCAAAGCCTGGTTGCTCTATCTATGTATGCTACGCGCTCCGTACAATCCGGCCTTCTGCCAAAGCCTGGAACATTAGTAGGGGGCATGGTTAGTTGTGTACTGAAATGGAATCGCCCAGACTTCCAATGACCACCCCCAATCCGGTTATCCTGCTCACACTGCGCTCCTCGATAGCCTGACCCAGCGGTCCACACCTTAGCACTCAACAGGGCACAACACTTCTGTGGAACCTGGCTCTCAGCTTGCCCAACATCTTAGGTTCTCCAATGAAGCTATTTTTCAGAGAACCATCAGGGACAATTTGGTGAGCTCCAGATCAAGTCAATTTTTCATTTTAGAGTCAGTGTCAAGGGCTTGAGAGTGTGGGGCACATAGGGAGAAGGGGGCTGCCCGAGTTGGAACCCTCCCAGTCACCCCTCACCAAAGAAGGGCCTGGGCCAGCTCAACTTAGGCAGAGCGGACAGCGCCAGCCAGCCGGGCTCAGACTCCCAGGGGTTCAGAATTGCCAGGCCAGGGAAAGTGCAGGGGGACCTCCGAGTGACCCCCCGGGGCTCAAGCCGAGGAGGAGCTGGAGGCGAGCTGGAAGACCGGGGCTGGAAGGGGGGCGCCATTTACCGGGTAGGGTGGACTTCCAGAGATGGGGAGGCTGCGTCTGCTCTTTGGGGCAGTACATTTGGCCGTTCCAGCCGTTGGGCAGCGCCCAGGGCTGGTAGCTTTCCATGGGAAGCCCCAGGGGCTCGTGGCGCGACTCGCCAGGGCCCCCGAGCCCCGGGACCACCGGCATATCCAGGTAGCCGGGCACGGGCTGGTGGTGGTGGTAAGGCCCGGCTGCGTAGCCCTGGTGGTAGAAGGCAAACTCCTTGGCGCGGGAGCTGAACTCCTCGGCCGCGGGGCCCGCGGTGTCCATGTACTTGTCGGCGAAGGCGGCGGCGGCCGAGGCGGGCTGCGCGCACGACTTGATGGCGTTGGGGTGCGGGCCCATGCGGGCGCACGGGTAGTAGCCGCTGCCGAAGTAGCCGTAGGGCAGCGCCGCGGGCCCCGACGAGCTTTGCGCAGCGGCCGAGCAGGGACTGCACTGCTTAGCGGCCTCGGCCCCCGCGGGCCCCGCCGGCCCGGGCCCTCCCGACGACGACGCGGCGGCGGCGGCGGCGGCGGCAGCGGCGGCGGCGGCGGCGGCGGCGGCGGACGGGGGCGCCTCCCCCGGCGCGCTGCTGTAGGCGGCCGCGGCGCCCGGCGCCAGGGGTGCGGGATGCGCCATCAGGTTGCGGCACTGGTTGGCCGCGGCGGCGGCGGCGGCGGCGGCCGCGGCGGCGACCGAGAAGTTGCCCCCCGCGGCCGCGGCAGCCGGGTGGGGGAAGCCCCCGCCCCCGGCTCCCGCCGCCGCCGCCGCCGCGGCCGCCGCCGCCGCCGCCGCCGCCCCTTCCATGTTCTTGTTGAGCTCGTCGGCCACCAGGCCGCCGCCGTTGTCGTAGAGGAACATGACGGTGGGCTCGATCCAGCGGGGGTGGAGGAGCACGGAGGCTGTCATAGCCCGAGCCGCATGGAGAAGACCCCAGTGGCGCTGTTTTAAAAAGCCCCCAAGAAGTGAAGAGCGCGCCGCGCGGGGCCGGGGCCCGAGCGAGGGGGGCGGGTCGCGCCCTGCGGGGTCGCGCCAGGCGGCCGCCCATTGGCCCGCCCCCGGCCCGCCCCCGGCGTATGCAAAGCGGGCGGCTCCAGCTCGGCTCGCCGCTGGGCCCGCCGTCCCCGCCGCCGCCGCCCGCGCGGTGCTCCGCGCCGGCGCTCACCCACGGAGGAGGCGGGGGACTCGGGCGGGTGGGGTGGGGAAGACAGGGCGCGCGCCTCGCGGACCCCGATCCCTTCCCGGGTCTCACTGGGGCCCAGGGCATCGCGCCGAGGCTGGGAGGGGCCGTGGGCGCCCGTGCTTGGTGTGCGACCTGAGGTCGTGGGGACAAGTCAGGTAAATTCTCCAGGAGCCAGGGATGCGAGATTGGCTTGGACTGGCCTAGCATGGTCCCGGGTGTTTCAGGGGCCTCTGCGACTGTTTTCTTTCCAGGTCTGGATACGTGTTTCTGTAGCTAGACCCTACCAGGGGTGTCGGAGCTTTCGCCTACGAAACGTCGAGTTTTGGCTCCCCCCCCCAACCCCCACCCCTAGGGAACAAGGGCAGGGCGTTTGTTTCCTGTCAGTTCCTGCGAGAAGTCTGGCGCAAGGGTCCCAGGACATTACTCTGGGAAACTTGGGCTTCATTTTAAGAGCTCTCTTCTCAGGCCCTGAAGGACAATTTCAATTAGGCCCACAGACCCAGAATATCGGAACAACCAATTGTATCTCCCTCCTTCCCTCACATGCGCGTGCGAATTTGCACACACGCGCGCGCGCACACAGACACAGATGCACACTGCCACATTTCCTACTTGTATATACAGTTGACTGCAGCTATCCTCTCTGGTCTGCAGAGAATTTCAGACGAAGGAAACACCATTCACTCGTGCTTCTGTCGCAAGAGCTTGGCCGCCTTTTCCTGAGGGGGTATAAGAGGAACAGGCCCCAGCTGGGCTGCTAGCTGGGACTCCAGCCCCGGTTCTGGGTTTTTCTACAAGCCATTACATAGATCCTGAGCTGGACATGGCCCTCCAGACATCTGGGAACCCACAGTTGCATTCCATGTTGGAGAAAGAGAAAGGGGATCTTTGGGGTCATCACATGCTTTTCCTCCCAGTAGGAGCTCAGCCTTCAGTGTGTGTGTGTGTGTGTGTGTGTGTGTGTGTGTGTGCGCGCGCGCGCGCACGCACGCGCGTGTGTGTTACTGAAGAACCAGTCTGATGAGTCCCCCAGTATCTGGGAGCCTGTTGGGGTGTTTGTGCTGAAGAGCCCCATGAGTCTTAGTGTTTTGGTGGGGGATTTTGGGGACCCTGTCTCTTTAGGACCACATCCACTTCTGATTGTGCGACTGTGAGCTGATCAGATGTCCAGAGGGTAACAAATGATCAAAGCGAAAGTGGGTGCATTCTGGAATATATAAGCTGGGAACAATTCCTTATTCTTTGGTCTCAGGGGCTTGTGTTAGGCAATCAGGCTTGGACCTGTCTTCTGGTCCCAGTTTGTAGTTTTAGCCCTAAGATAGGGCACCACACATATCACCCAATTTATCTGCTGCTCTTTAAGCCCCTTGGCTTCTGGCAAGATTCGGACCCATAAGGCTGGGCTCAGGCTTTTATCTGCCCAGATTCTGGATTTGTTCTGACTAATGTTAAGTGTCGCCCAATAAAACCTTCCCTGCTCCCCACACCCAATTCTCCCCCACACTCAGTGTGTCCTTTCCCTCCTGACTTTTTAGCAGTCCTGGGTAAATATTGATTTGTCCCCAGTTTACCTTCTCACTGACTGGCCATTTGCAGACTAAGGAACCAACCTCTGTGAAGATGTGATTTTTGTGTTACTTTGGAGCCCTTTTCATCCATTTCCCCCAAATCCTTCTTCCCTTTAAGTGGCATTGTAAAATTCAAAAGCGACAAAGAGACAAAGTAGGGTTCCAGGCTCCAGCTCTTGGAGACTTGAGGCTTAGCTTGAGGGCAGTTTACACACAGGTCAGACGCGGCTGGAGGCCAAGGTCAAGTTGAAAGTTGCTGTCTAGTCAGCGTGAGAAACTGCAATGAAACCCCAGAGACTAGGGCTGCCCGGAGGCCGGAGGCCGAGTGCCCATCTCCCCTCACTCTCAATCCCTCCATCCTTTCTTTGCATTTCTAGTTTCTGGCTACTCAACATCATTTTTCCCTCTCTCTTTGTAGAGTTTTGGGGGGCAGTGTTGAGGGCTGGACGGATTCTTCTCCGCTGCTGCCTTACCCTTAGCTGGGTTTTTGAGCCTCCGAAGTTTTCCAACTAGATTCGGGAAAACGAAAACACAGCTCCGGAAGTGTCCACCAGCCGATCCCTATGCCAGTTCACCTCTGGCAATGGCTGGACTGCTGGGACACACAGCAGCCAAGACCAACTCCACATTCTTCCCGCCCCCTCATTTCACTGGAGCCGGGAGCCCTGCGCTCAGGGGAAGGGCCTCAGCTCTACAGACTGCCAAAGTCGGCTGGGTTGCTCCACTCCAAAAAATGGTGAGAAAGGATCTCATCCTTTTCGCGGAGGAGCCAGAGCAGGTTTGTTTGGGAAGAATGGGGCAGTGGGGAGGCTTTGGATTGCGTCTTGAACTCATTGGGTTTTGATTTCTACACATGGCATCCTCACCCTAGGAGGGCTTTGGATCTGAGTTACTGAGGTTTATGTTTTCTTATCAATTAAGAAAAAAAATCTCAAGACTGAATTATTTAGAGAAAGTCAGCCTCCTTTTTCTCTTTCTGTTTCATACACTGATGTGCTTTTCTATCAGGCGTGTGCCAATGGCATCTTGGCATATCTAAGTCTCTCTCTTTTTCCTTCTGTGTTGTGTCTTCACTATTTTTAAATGACTGAGAGTCCTGCTAGTTATTGAGCTGTAGCTGGAAATTGTTTCTCGAGTTAGAATGCGCTCTGGAAATAATTTTGGGTAAGACTTTCTAGAATTTCTACTCGCTTCAAAACAAGAATAATCCCTCAGTCTTTCAAAGAGGGAGAGAAGAGATGCATTAATGGATTCTAATACAGAGCTCCAGGCAGTACCAGACTAGCTTGGTGTGGGAAAAGCAAGGGCAGAGGATGAAGACTGGCTCTTGGGAAGCCAGTAGTCTCTTCCAGTGTTCTTCCCCATTTCCCAAAGGCATAGGCAAATTTTCCTTGTCCACCCAGCTAGCAGGGCCTTTCTGAGCTCTTTTTGTCTCCCAGGCTTAAGATTCTTCTAATATTTGGCAGAAGCACCAGCACCTTAACAATTTTATCCCCAGATTCTCCATGGCTCAGAAAAGAGAAGTCAGATCACCCACGGTGACCTTCAGGCTGCAGTGGCCATTGGAGCCAAGCATAGGGCTGGGTTGGAAGCCCAAGCTTTGTCTGATGCGCCTAGATTTCTCACCAGCGAAGTCTTTGTTCCAGGAGTTTCCATAGCCTTTCTTCTGCTCTAGGCTTTTACTGGGGCAAACCAGGGTTGATGGGCTTTGACAGCCCTCTTGTATCTGGTTTGAGATCTCGGCTGCATTTTTTTCCCCCTTGATAGAGGACTCCTTATTAACCAAGGCTAAAGGACCCTGGGCTCCTAGGGTTAAAGAAGAAAAGGACAAAGGGAAACCAAGGTCTAATCGAGTTTGATTTTCATTAGCAAATGAAACTTACCTGCTCTCACTTTACCATGGAGGAGGCTGTCAGCACTGTTCTCTGGAACTACTTCTTTGCATGGATGGGTATTAGGATAAACATTCCTTGTTTGGTTTTAAAGACACTTTGTATTTCGGGATATTCATGTGTTTCTAATGTATCCAAGCCACTTTATGAGCTGCATTTGCAGGATATCTTAACCCTCTGGCTTCCACCCCAGGCGGGTGGGGGGTTAAAGAGATAATAGCAAAGCAAGAAAGATTCAGAAGGGGGAGGGGGGCTGAGGGGCCTAGAAGAGAGAAAGGAGAAATTCTCAAAGAAGGCAGAGCTTCCGAATTCTCACCAGAGCACAGCAAGTGGGAAGCTGAGTTTTTTGAGGGTCCTCAACCCTGTATGCATTAGGGTAAACACAGTGCCTTGGGGTTGTGGGGGGGGGGTTGTCCGGAATTCTGGGCTGGCTAGAGCGCAGGGGAAGGTCATAGCTTGACTCGCTGGTTTGAGGTTTTGTTCTAGAGTGAAGCAATAATGAAGTCAAGAAAAAACTGGTGCTGTGGGGATAATTTTGGAACATGGGAAATAACTCTGTACCCCGGTGACCAAAGGCTTATAAAAGGGGAAGTGGGAAATCAAGGAAGAAAACCACAGACCTTGCCCCAAAGATCACCTAAGATCACCTCAGGATCGACTTTGAAGACAGCAAAACATTGGATAAGTGGCTCATCCACTGCCTACCAGATTGTATCAGGTACAACGGAGCCAGCCACAGGGAAGGGCCTTACAGAAGGAAAGAACCTCAGAGAGAACCCCAGTTGCATCCCTGTCTCAAAGAAGGGAGAGGGTAACCCCACACCCATTTTAGAAGAACCAGCAGCAGGTCTTAGGTTCTGGTAAGGAGCAATCCCCTGCACCGCCCGCCTGAGATTAGATGGTGGCAAGAGTTTTCCCTGTTCTAACAGCCGGAGCTGCGTCACCCTTCACCAGATCTGGAAACACAGCCTTCACCTAAGGATCCGAATGTGAGTAGGAAGCAGAGGGTCCGAGTAAATAGAAACTCAACCTGAAGGAGGACGCTCCTTTCCACAGGGAGAGGCAGGCAGCCAGGCCAGGGACCAGCTTGTGGGACTCGGGGGTGGGGGTGGGGGTGGGAGGGTTCGGGGGAGGGGGAAGCGACTCTGGGAGTGAGTTCGCTGCCGCTGGGACTGGGTGCTGGCAGAATGCGGTACCTCCTGGCAACCCAGAGCCTGCAGCTGCCACGTGAAAAGGACCAGGAATCTGTACCCGACGCCACCAGCCCCCACTCCAACCCTAGGTTGATGCTCACTGCCCGCTACAAAACAGGAAACCAGCGCCGGGCTGTGGATTCTTTATGTCAACAAATACACCGAAGACGAAGGCGTT